CGCCTGTCACTCCCAGGACCCCAGCCCCAGCGCCCCCTGCCTGTCACTTCCAGGTTCTTCTTTCGTCAGCTCCTGCTAGCCACAAAGGGGGGTCCCAAGGGCAAGGAGCGGTCAGTGCTGGCTCCCCAGCCTAGGCCTGGGCCCCCCTTCACCCTCAAGCCTGGGGTCTTCCTGCACCTGTATGTGAGCAACACCCCCAAGGGAGCAGCCCATGATATCTAGTAGGTGGCACAGTCTGGGAGTCCCTCTGTCATGTAGGGACCCAGGGGGTATTGAAGGTCCTGACCCTGGGCTCCTGTCCCCCACCTGCCTCCACAGCCTCCCGCTGGCCTCAGAAGACAGTGTCCTGCACAACCCAGCCTTCCGCCTCCAGGCACATGTGTGTGGGCAGCTGAAGCCCGTATCCTATGTGGCACCTGCACTCCGTGATACTCATGTGGGCTGCCTCTCAGCCAGTGACAAGCTGGCACGCTGGACTGTGCTGGGACTGGGTGGTGCACTGCTGGCCCACTTCCTCCCACCACTCTATGCCACCAGCCTTGTCCTGGGTGAGGCATGAAGGGTGCCAGGGCAGAAAGCGGGCTCTGGGTGACACGGGGATGTGGTGACTCAGGTCCTGTGTCTTATGTTTCACAGCTGACCCCTGCCATGACCCCCCAACTCTGAAAAGGGCCATCCACTCCCGGCCCAGACTAGAGAGTGTCTTGGGGTCAGGTCTGCCATGTCCCTATGTCCGTACCACCTTGCACCTGTTTGCTGGTCCCCTGGTGGCCCCCTCAGACCCCACACCCAGCAGTTACCATGGCCTGAGCCTAAACTGGAGCCTGGGGGATCCTGACATTGAAGTTGTGGATGTGGCCACCGGGCGCGTGAAGACTGAGTGAGGAGGGCCCCGTGGGGCTGGGCCTACAGGGGAGCTCACGGGTAGGGAACCCCATCCCCCTCACTCCCCCTGGGACTCTAGTAACATGATCACTGGGTAGATTGTGTGAGTGGTGAGGGCATTGCCTGCCTGCGCCCTTCCTTCTGAGTGTCTCCTTTATTGCAGCACCAGCCCTGGACCCCCCTCCCGCCTCTGTAAGGCGGCCTTTCTGGCAGCCTTCCGCCAGGTTGCCAGAGCCCTGGAGAAGCCCCACCTCCTGGCCTTGAAGACCTATGAGGCTGCCAAGGTGGGCCCTTCCCTCCAGCCCCTCCCTCCAGGTTCCCCACACTCACAGCACCACAGCAAACACCTCACCCTGTCCCTTCTCCCCACCCTAGGCAGGGCCCTACAGGGATGCTCGCCAGCAGCTCTCTCTCCTCCTGGACCAGCAGGGCCTGGGAGCCTGGCCCTCGAAGCCACTGGTGGGCAAATTCAGACACTGATCCAGACCTCACGGACCAAGGTCCCTAGCAGAGTTGGGCCTCCACAGTGGGAGGACTCACTGGGGGCAGAGCAAGGTGGGGGCAGGGAGCATGGTGGGAGCAGGCGAAGCTGGAATTGAGGCCATGGGCTTGACTTCTGTGTATTTTGTTTGAATAAAGAAATGGTTTCTGGTAGTTTGTGTTGGGGGGGTCACCTGGAGGTGGTTTCTTGATGTAGGGAGGCCTTCATGCTGTCCTGAGAAGCCCTGTGGCTGCTAGACACTCATTAGACCCTCCCCTCTGGGCCTGCTCTCTTGTCATCCCAGTTTGCAGATCTGGAAACAGATGTGGGAGGAGCCCTGTGTGCTTGGCTGGCCAAGGTGGGGCGGGAGGTTAGGCACTGGCTGCTGTTGGCGGCTTGGGAGCGTTTGCCTGTTGTGGGACCTGAAGCCCTTCCCTTTGAAGGCTTAGACTTGGGGGCCTGGGGAGCACATGAGTTGTGTTACCTGATCAAGGCCTTTCCCTATTTTGGCGCACTAAAATGTTCTGTGGGTTAGGTGTCTGTGTTGAAGGGCACAGGGTAGTGGTAGACATCAGCTGTCCTTGCTCTGGGAAACCTGTCAGTGCCTGCTTGCCCACTGTGGAGAAGCCACAGGTGCAGGGTGCCACCCAGGTGCAGGGTGGCTGCTATTCCCTCCAGAGTGGCAACAGAGAACCAGCCTGGGCAATTGAATGCTCCACATACTGGATGGGGAGGGAAGCTGGGCACATCGTGAGCATGCAAGCCTGGGACCTTGCCACTCTGGGCAGGAACACAGCAGCCTTAGAGCTGGGGTTGGCCTATGACCCTCACCTTACAGCCCAAGTCCCTCTGCCTCCCCAGCACTTCCCGGTCAGAGCCATAGAGGGGCCCAGGGAAGCTGGTGAAGGCTGGTAGAATGCTTAGTGCTCTGTGGGAACACATCACAGACGTTCCTGGGCCTTGGGCATTCCGACAGACAAGCAGGCAGCTCCCGTGTCTCCAAGATGCCTTTGGCCCAGCCTCATAACAACTCTTTATATGTCCTGTTGGCCCTTGGCTGATAACAGATGAGTTCTGCCAGAGCTGTCATTCAGGGCCAGGCCAGTCTCTCCAGTCTGTCTCTGCCCCCTGTGGGTGTGTGCCTGTGACTAGCCACTTAACCTCCGTGCACACTGGTGGCCTCATCTGGAGAGATGCCAGCCCCAGTATCCACGAGTTCCATGTCAACAGTTCATAGAAATACTTGGGGCAGGGGGTTGGGCCTTTTGCACCAAAGTTTAGATTTCTGTTATTCCCTGGACATGGCAGGACATGCTGCATTTGTTTGTTTGAAGTAATGATATTGCCATGGGCTTGGTTTGGGTGATCTTCCCCTACTGCGCTCTGCCAGCTCCCTGCCCCCACCCCCACTGGTCCCCATCCCCCCACCAGCCTTCCTCTTCCATGTTCCTTGTAGCCTATTGCTCCCCTTTTAAACTGCTGCCCTGCCCTCCCTTTCCCCAAGACTTCCATTCCCCTCTCTGGATTGCAAGCTTGTATAGCTACTATGGAAAGAGTCTAGAGGGTCCTCTAAAAATAGAACTTCCATAGGACCCGGTGGTACCACTCCTCAGTACTTATGAGAAGGAGTCTTAGTCCTACTGCGGGGATGCCTGCACACCCAGGGTAACTGCCACGCTAGTCACAATGGTTAGGAAAGAGTTAGGCCAGGTGTCCACCAACAGACGGGTAGTTATGGTGCGTGCGCGCTGGGCACCCTGGCATGGTGTGCGCGGGCACGCCTGGAGAGTCGCGGCGCGGGTCCGTGGGCTCCTCCGTGTCTCTGTGGGTCTCTGCTGCTGGAGCGTTGTCCAGCCGTGTACCGCCTTAATTTCCCCCGTGCGCTTTCCTCTTGATGCGAGATCGACTGGCCACTGGATCACGTGGGAGAGCGCAAGGTGGCTGAAGCTGGGATCCGTGAGCCGGTGACGGAGGAATGCTGCCTCCGGAGAGGCTGGATCGCCAGTAAGACGCGGGACTCTGCTTAGTCCGTGTCACAGCTTTTATTAAGTGTAGCTTCAAGTGATCCAGCTCTCTATTATTGAGAGAAGACTGGGATATTTATACCATGGGGGTAGTGGTAAAAGCTTTGGCTGATAGATACTTTGTGAGACATTCTATTTGCATATGGAAGTGGGTTTCTGCCATGCTGCCAGACCGCTGACTACCTGAAAAATCACACAGGAAAGCATGGTATTCCTAGAGCCAGAGGCCATGTTTATGTTATGGTATTTGTGGCGGGGACTTCAAAAGGAGAGTTAGGAAGATACCAGGAAGGCACCCTGCTATGAAAGGAGTCTCAGCACATAACTCCGAGCTTGTGAGCTATCCGGATATGAAGAGACTTCTACTTCACATAACAGAGGCCCCCAACAGGTAGTGGCAGTGTGGTGCATGTACACACCGGAACTGCACGTAGCCATAAAGAAAAGTGACATCTGCAGGAAAAATGGAAGCAACTGGAAATTTTTTCTTTAATATTTATTTTAGGTGTATGAGTGCATTGTCTGCATGTGTGTAAATGCACCCATGTTGTGCAATGCCATCAGAAGAGGGCATCGGATCTGGAACTGGAGTTAAAGACAGTTGTTAGCTGCCTTGTGGGTGCCGGGACTTGAACCCAGGTCCTCTGCAAGAGCAACCACTGCTCTTAACTGCCGAACCACCTCTCCAGCCCTGGAACTGGAAATTATTTTACATGAAATATCCCACTGGGATCCAGGAAGACACTGCATGTTTTTTGTGTATGTGTGCATGTGTGTGCAGGTGCATGTGGAAGCCAAAGGCTGGGACCCAGGGCTCTCTGATTAGGCTAGGCTGGCTGGCCAGTGAGCCCCTGGGATCCTCCTGTCTCTGCTTCCTCATGCCACAGCATTAAAAAAAAAAATGAGCTGGGTGTGGTGCCACACGCCTTTAATCCCAGCACTTGGGAGGCAGAGGCAGGTGGATCTCTGTGAGTTCAAGGCCAGCCTGGTCTACATAGTTCCAGGACAGCTGGGGCTACAGGGAGACCCTGTCTCAAAAACACCAAAAAAAAAAAAAGTTACACTTAATTTTGTGTGTGGGTGCATGTACCATGCCACACATTTGGAGGTCAGAGGACAGCTATGGGGAGTCAATTGTCTCCTTCCACCACGAGGGTCCCAGGAATTGAAGCAGGTCACTGGGCTGAGGCAAGCGCTTTCGCCTGCTAAGCCCCATCTCACTGGCCTTGCTCTTTTACATGGGTGCTGGGGATTGAACTCAGGTCCTCCTGTGGCTCAGTAAGTACATTACTGACAGAGTCACCTCCCAGGTGGTTTCAGTTGTTGATGATTTTTATTTCGGGTGCTTTGTTTGAGTTGTTCCTTCTGCCTAGCCCAGTTCTTGCCCCTCTGCCGTGCCTCTTGTTACCCATGTGGGGGCGTTGAGGAGAAGGCACCACTGGAGAGGAGACTCTCCCTGCAGACAGGTGGGAGAATCCAGTAGGTCCAGCCCCAAGCTTTTTAAAAGTTGGCCACCGACTCTACAGGAGAGATGCCATCACAGCCCTACTGGGGAGTGAGGTGAGGCAGGGGCCTTCTAGAAGAACACAGAATGTTCAGTGACTGTCCAGGGCTGCTGCCAGATTCTCTTCCATGATCTTGGGTGAAAGGCAACATCTTTGAGCCCCATTTTTGCTGACATACAAATAGGACCAGGCTAGGTCATTGTGGGCATTTCCTCCTGGCCCAGCTGTCCTTGTGTCTGCTCTGACACTTGTGGATGCTGCAGGGTTCGGGCAGCTCCTTCTGCCAGTCAGAGAAGGGATTGTAGGCTTTCATGCCTGGTGAGGTGTGGAGCTAGAGGTTGGCATCAGGCTAGAGAGAGGAGAGGTGGGAAGACCTAGAGAGGAGGGCTCAGGGGCCCACAGGTGAAGGACAGGGTGAGCTTCTTGCTGAGTGGTGGGGGAGGCAGGAAGGCTGCAAAGCCTGGCTAAATACCACCTCTTGCTTAGCTGAGAAAACCAGCTATTTACCTTTAAGTGCTGTTTTTTAAAGATCAAGCCATCATTTTTCAGGCTTTAGTCATAGACAGGACACAGATAAAACTCTGGCGGGATAGAGTTTATTAGCAGAGGAAATTCGCACAGGACAACTCCCTTTGGGATAGGGAGATTGTCAGCCCATGGGTTGTGGGCTGGGATCTTTATACACGGGCTTCTGGGAATGCAGAGGCGGGAACATATTTTTTAAAAAGTTAGGCAGCTTCTGTTAAAACCACCCCTTTCCGTCCATCAGCCAGGATCTGGGTCAAAAGGTGTCTGTTTATCCTTTAAGATCATCAAAGAGGAAGCATGCTGTGCTGCAGTGACTCCTTGCAGTGATCGGGCCTCTGGTCAAAAGGTAGAGTCAGTTTATCCTTTAAAATCATCAAAGGGGAAGAAGCATGCTGCCTTTGACCAAAAGGTGCAGAGAGCCTGCTTCTCCTGTCTTCAAAGGCCAGGGTGCTCATTAACTCAGTCCCTGCATTCTCAGGGGCTTGCAAAACTATGAGGCCCTGTTGGGGAGGGGGCTGCTGCACATCTGAACCCTAACAATTAGCCTGCATACCACCCATCGTTTACCTCAGGAGACAACTTAAGGTGCTTGACTCTTGGTGCTGTGTTGGTGGCATTAGCCTCGCCTGGTAACGCATCAGCCACAGAGTTTCAGTTTTATACCCCCCAGGCCGTGGTAGGCATTGATCACATAATCACTGGGTAAACAAGTCACTCAAAGTGACATTAACTGTGCTGCACTCTGCCAAGGAAATATTTTTTGTCCCTGCCCATCCTTCCCTCCTGTCACTACACACTATCTGCCCGGCTCCCTTCAACAGCCTCTTGTAGCAGAGTGATGTGGGCTATGCCTCTGCAGTGGAGTCTGTTAACATCCTCTTCTTGGCCTGGTCCCCTGGGGTTTTGCTGACAGGAGCAGATGTTATCTAGCCTGGCGCACGCTCCTGCACTGCTTTCTGGGTACCTCCCTCGACTCCCAGCCTCCCTCTCCGGCAGCAGCCCTCACCCTGTGGGAACCTTGGTTGGACCCTGAGTGTGCCCTGCACATTGCTCCGAGTCGTCTTTGCTCCAGGCAGAGTTTACCAAGTGGAAGTGCGGGTCTGGGAGGCCAAAGTGCAGCTCTGCCCTTCCAGTCCTCAGTTTCCCCATTTGGCAAGTGAGAGTGAGTGCCAGCTGTCTGGGCTACAGGGCGATGGTGAGGTTTGGCAAGGAGCAGACAGGGCTTTTCTTGGCTCCTGGCTATCCTTGGCCCCATGTGCCATCAGTCCCAGAGGAAGGACTGCTGTTCATGTCATCTGTCCCCTTCTCTAGGGTCTCCTGCACTCAAGGTGCCCACAGACAAGCCCTGGGTAGAACATGATCGTTGTGGGGTATCTTCACAGAAACATGCTGGGATGAAAATAGGAACCTCGCTCTAAAGCAGGACTTGGGGCTGGGGCCATAGCACAGTCCAAATGTGCTTGCAATGTAGGCAGGAGGGCCTGAATTAGGTCCCCAGAACCCAAGTCAAAAGCAGGGCACAGTGGAGCCTGCTTGTAATCCCAGTGCTGGGGAGGCAGAGGCAGGCAGATCCCTGGGACTTGCTGGCCAACCAGCCTAGCTGAATCTGAAAGTTCCAGGCTAAGTAAGAGACCCTGCTTCACAATAAAACTGGACAGAGGTACAAAGACTTCCGAGATGCCCCCTGCCCACCCCCATTCCCTCAGCAATGGCATGTCTGGCTCAGGTCTTCAAGTGGCTTGGGCTGGGTGACCTGGTCCCTACCTCACCTCTCCTAGGCACTCTTCCTGCTTCCTTCCACATCTCCACGTTAACCCCTGGTGACTGGCTGGTGCTGCTGTACCCAAGAAGCCATGAGCCTTCTTAATATTACATAATGTTTGCCTCAGGGGGTCCCAGGCTCCACCAGCAAACACAGGTGACGCCCTGAGCCTCCCAGGGGTCTGCATCAGGCCAGTCACGGCGAAGACAGTGGGAACCTCGGAGGCAGCAAGACGGGCTAATTTTAGCTCAGGACACCCAAACTGGGTCGCATCATGTGACTTTGGCTCTCCTCAGCTGTGACCCCTTACAAAGTTGAGTTACAAAAGTCGCTAAGCTGCACATGTCCTCTGAACCAGGCTGCCACAGGGCGGGACTGAGCACCTTTTGCTTTATTTTTAACTGACATTGTATTCCAGAAGGTGCTTCTTGGCAAGATATCAAAGCTTCATAGAGAGGCACTGGGTAGAGACCAGGTGGCCCGGGGCGGGAGCATGGAGGCCAGGAGTCCAGAGCCTGGGCTATCTGGCTATGTCAACCCCGGCAGGTGTCTGCCAAGTTCACCCCCTCCTTGGTCCTTGCCATCTGTACCTTCAAAGCCAAAGGTGGGACCCCGCCACCATTAACTTTAGAATCTTCAGAAGTGGCCAGGGTTGGGGATGCTGAGGTTTGGGGACTAGTTTGCCTTGGGGGTGGGGTGGGGGTTGTCATACTGGTCTAACAGGCAGCCTGGGATGGTCAGCACTCAATCTGGCTGGCACATTCTATCTGGCCTGGTACAGGTGTGCAGAGAGCAAAGGCTAATGTTAGTGCTTATTTTAATCTTTAGGCCAGGCCTGGCCCCTGGTCCCCTTTCTTCCCCTTTCCCAATTCATCAGTGTGTCCCTGAGTCACCTCTCAAAGAAAGGGGTTGTGCCTCATTGATAAGGGACATCGGACCCCAAGATGTGATATCTTGAAAGGGATCTAAGCTGGCTGGGATGCACAGCTTCAAGTTGGGCATCAGGAGCCATCAAACCTACACGAAGTGAGGAGGCGTATCCTGGCAAGGAGCGGGGAGGCCAGGCCGGGGATATGGCTTGTCTAGCAAGCAGGAAGCCCTGGGTTCGATCCCCAGCCCTGCATAAACCAGGCATGGTGGCTCATGCCCATAATCCCAGTGCTTGGGAAGTCAAGGCAGGAGGCCAGCCTGGGCTACATAGTGAAACTCTTGTCTCAAAAACACAACAAAAAATGAAAGGGGGGTATGGATGACATTCACCCATAATCTCAGAGTCACCTGAGCCCAAGCAAGGCTGTGGAGATGGCCATATTGCAGGCAACTACAGAGGTAACAAGTGTAGCCTAGACCCAGTGCTGGAGAGCAAATCAGACGGACAGGAGGTTTAAGAACTGCACCCCACTGAGTGTGGCAGGCAGAGCTGCTCTGTGGTCAGGAAACTAGCCATGCTCTGGGTACCCCACATCTTGTCTTCTGAGGCAACCGTGTGCCTTCAGCATTCAGTCCTTTCTGTGGGGAGAGGACACAGGCTTCTGTGAGAATCCGATGGAATTACTGGACACCATGAACTTGGAAATGTCCTTGGGCCTCTGGAAGCTTGTGGAGACTGGATGATCTCTGGAACATGCTGCATTTCTAAAAACTGAGGACCCTAGTGGAGGCTGCTTATTTTCAAAAGGTGCAGGAGAGCATGCCAGGCACCGGCGATAAAACACAAAGGGGTATGCGACGAACCGTGTGGGAAATGGCAGAAAAGAGGTGTAGGGGCCGAGGAGATGGTTCACTGGGTAAGGGAGCTTGCCACCAAATCTGACAGCTTGAGTTAAATTCCCAGGATCTGCATGGTGGACAACTCCTGCAAGTTGTCCTCTTACAAGTGTGCCATAGTATGTGTGCACGTACATACACACACACACACACAATGACAGGGAAGAATCTAGAGAAACAAGTTTCTTTAGTTCTAGAAACCAAATTACCATAGTTACTGGAATTGTCACAGTTCAACAAAATGGAAACACTTTACCAAATGGCGTGGTCCTGGCTAACAATAAGAAATGAGAAAGTCGGAGCTGGAGAGATGGCTCAGCAGTTAAGCACACTGACTGCTCTTACAGAAGATCTGGGTTCAGTTCCCAGGAATCTCATCAGGCAGCTTACAACCACCTATAACTCTAAATTTCTTTGCAGGCACCTGCACACATGTGGTACACAAACTCATACAGGTACACATTAAAAACTAATATTTCTTCCCCACTCCCCTCTCTTTTTCTTTTAGGGAGGAAAGATTCACAATGCTCATGGTATCTGACATATTTTCTACATGAATTGTTACAAAATTCATGTAGGGCTGGCTGCTGCTGACCATTCAGAAAGCAATACTCATTGTCAGTGTTTCCATGGAGATGGGGAGAGTGTCTACAGCTGGGCACATGGCACGTTGTGGGACAGGTTGGAGTGTGGCATCCTGTGGAGGCAGATGGAAACCTGGTGGCAGAAAAGACCTCTGTGGATGTGTGGCGCTGGAGGTACAGGTCACATTTTACAAAGAAGCAGCTTGGTGCGTGGTGAAGGGTCCTAGGTGAATTCTGTGTCCCTTCCCGGTCTCCTCCACCTCTCTCCAAGTTACACATTGCTGCAGTCAGCTCCCAGAAGCCCAGCTGTCTGAGCTGGGAGAGATTTTGGTGACTACCCCACGGACACCAGGACAGCTCTGCCACTCGGCTCAGGCCAGCAGGGCCAAGCGCTGTTCTCCTCATGAGTATGTTCTCCACAGCTTCAGGCAGGCGCTTTTCCCTGTCTGAGTCTTGGTCTCTTGGTCTTAAAAGAGGGAGTTGGTTGATATTAGAGCTCTTCACTCTTCTGAGGGGTCTTCCTTTGAGAAAATGATAAAATCAGAGTATCCACACTCTGAAATGCCTGTCACATGCAGAGGCACGTCCATCCCTCATGGAAACACCCACATTGCTCATCTTCTGAAGGGACTGCCTGTGGCTGTCGTGCAGCTCCAGAAGCCATGGGAGTCCAGTCCACTGTCCCTGCTGGTCCCCGGTCGGGACCCTCCTTGAGTCCCTTTCAGTGTATCAAAGAACAAACTCATCTTTCCCTAGCTCACAGCCTGACCTCAGCTCTGTCTGGCTAGAAAGATGATCGACCATTTTACTTACCTCTAGGAGCCTCATCTATGCTAAAAGGTGGCTGACATCCAGGATGACCTTAGGCTACAGTCTAGGCAGCTGGCCTCAGGGAGGGCCTATGGGAGTCACCAGGCTCCCATCTACTTACCTCTAGGAGCCTCATCTATGCTAAAAGGTGGCTGACATCCAGGATAACCTTAGGCTACAGTCTAGGCAGCTGGCCTCAGAGAGGCCTATGGGAGTCACCAGGCTCCCATGAGCCAACAGGCATAAAGAAACCTCCTAACCACTTGCTTGTCATCCCCACTGCATCCAATCACATCAAAGAGGCTGCTCAGCAGGTTGGACCAGAACGATTGAGACTCATCAGCTGGGACACTGCCCGGGAGAGAAAAATAGAGCATTACATTAAGCCCGACTTCAAGCAATCAGCCCCGGTTTCCACCTCTGGTTCAGTGAGAATGTCAGTTGGACGTGTATACAGACTCAGTAGAACCTCACATCTCTGATGGGTTCAGCTAATGTTCACTCTCAGCTTTTCTTCTGGTTTTGGGACATTTTAGTGGCAGAGAGGACTGTGGGGACATCAGGTGAGAGCCAGGCACACCAGCAGCAGAGCGTGATTGAGACTCACCACCTCGGGCTTGTGACACAAACGAGGTCTTCAGTCAGAACAGACGGACAGATGCAGGCTGACGAGAGTGCCCCCGGCCTCCGCGCGTCTTTGGTTTCCGGGGTGAGCTGCGACATTCATTCAGCAGGCTGCGGACAGCCGTAACTGGGTGGTGAGGTGGCATCCAGACATTTTTGAATTCTAGACATCGTTTCTTACCAACAGGACCCAGAGCTCTTTCTGCTCAACTGGTTTTCAGCCCAACGTTGTTCTGTAGAACGTCAGCCAGAAAGCCACAGGTCTAGCCCAACCCTACGGTTGATGGAGGGAAATGGGCCTTCCCAAAGTTACAGACAGAGCAAATAATCCAGGCCCCAGCTGGTACCCACGATGTCTATCTAGTAAGAGAGTGAAGGGGGAACTGACTTTTTAATTTTGTATAAGAATAGTTATAAAAATATTAGCCTGGCACTGGGGCAGGAGAATCACATGTTCCAGACCAGGCTGGGCTATGCTGTGAGACCCTGTCTCAAAAAAATGTCATCCTAGAACAAAAGATTAGTTGTTGAAGCAGCCCCAGAATGCATCCATTGACCCCGGACTCTGCTAGCCACTTCTTGGGGCAGGGCAGCCTTAGACCTCATGGAGCAGCACCTCTCCTTGTATGATGAAAAGGGATTGCCTGGAGACGTTAGCTTAGAAGCACTGGGAGTGGCCTCTGGGCCATGAAGTCTAGAGGGATGTGCGTCTCTCTAGGAAATCAGAAGTGAGGGCTTCCATGTGGGCAAGACTTTTTCTACCATTAGATGCTGGGACTCCCCTGGGCAGAGTAGTCAGCAGTCAGGGGAAGCGTGGGCTTGACACGTAGCAGGGCTAAGCTCAATAGTGGCAGAAGGACTAACAGTCAGGCATGTGCTGTGGTGTTGACTGGGCTTACACATGTGCTGGGTCAGATCCACAGGACCCTGTCTACCTCACCACCATCCACTTGCGTCCTTGACCTTCCAGGCAGTGGTGAGGAACAGTGGGGCCGTGTCAAACCCTGATACCTGCTACAGGGATGTCTCCCAGATGTGTTCTGCCCAGACACAAGTATGAGCAGTCATAACACGGAGGAGGTGGACCTGCAGGTCTGTCACGCCCCAGTCCGGCCTGGGCTCAGGTCCCCTTGGACCATCACCCTTGTCCTCATGCATGGTTCATCTACAAGTTCTTCTGCAAGGCACCACTGTGGTCCCCACCTCCTTACCCCAGCCCACCTTTCCAGCCTCATTTCCCAACTGTGCTCAGCCCCTGTGTCTGGAGACGTTTGAAGGCGCTGGCTGCTCAGAGGTACTGCCTTGTCCCGGGCCATCTGACCCTCTACTTGCCTCCTCCGTGGATGACCCATCTGAGGAGATGTGTCTGCTGACTGATGGGCAGATGAATACGTAGACAGGACCAGAACACATTAGAAATGTCTCTCCTCCATCAGTGGGAGGCTGTCCTGTTTGTATGCTAAAGCCGAGCTGTGTCAGTCGTGGCTTAGTTGAGTGTGGAAAGCTGAGGTGTCCTTGGTGCTGGTGGGGGTCTCTGCAGGGACACTAGGGGGTTCTCAAAGACTGTCTTTGTTGAGGCTAAGGGCTCAATAATGGGAGATTTCCAAGAATCCAAATGGCCAACCAGGCCTACTGGAAAGGCAGGTAGCCCTCCTGCCCAGGCCTTGGCGGCCTGTTACAGGACAGCAGGCCACCGCTGGGGCATGTTATAGGAGACAGAAGGCTTACAGTCCCTGAACAGCAGCTCCTGACATAGAATTTGCTACATACAGCACCCGCTTCTTTGGCCAAGAAGCTCTCAAACAATGGATGCTGACACAGTGTTTGGAAATGCTGTTGGTGGCAGCGAATGGAAAAACATACCACCCTCACAGAAGCCGTGCAGGGCTGCGTGGAGCTTCGAGCAGAAGGTCCCACTGCCTGAGCCCTCCAATTCTCAGGGCTGATGTGTTCCAGGACAGAGGATTGGAGGTGGAAGATGGAATTCTGCAGGATCCGTGTTCCACCATCAGTGGCGGTAAGTTCCACGAGGATCCAGAATTCTGCGTGGAATATCACAGCATCCACAGGGAAGGGAGAGAGTGTGCCGGGCCGCTGCCCCAGCCTAGCAAGATAAACTGTGCCCAGTGGCTGGCAGGGAGCGGGGGAAGGAGACAGCTGGTCCCCGGATCACATCAATGATGTCCTGGCCTTGTGCCCTACCTACTTCCAAAGCAGCACCTGAGGCACAGCAACCAGGTGGTCCACTCGAGGAATACTGGCTTATCTAGGTCCAGGCAATGAACTGGAGCTATTGTGAGAAAGCCTTCCCGAGGTGGTGGGAGTTACATGTAGGGGATGGGCGAGGCCAGACCCTCAGGGACCAGGTCGTCCACGTCGCTCAGGAGTTCCCGCTCACTGGCTGAGTTGGTGTTCTGGAGGCGACGGAGGCGGGCCTGGAGCTGCTCCTGCTCCCGCTTCAACTCCAGGTAGGAGTGGGAGAAGGTGTGGAAGATGGACGTGGCAGGGAAGGCCATGATGAGGATCCCGCTGAGGATGCTGCTCAGAGCCACCATCTGGCCTGGCACGCTGCGTGGGACCATGTCCCCGTAGCCCACGGTGGTCATCGAGATGATGGCCCACCAGTAGGAGGCAGGGATGCTGGTGAACTCCAGGACCCTTCCGGACTCATTCTCAGCCACGTAGACCAAGGGGGAGAAGAGGGTGACGGCCACCCCGAGGAAGAGCAGCAGCAGGCCAAACTCTCGGGCACAGCGACGCACCGTGAGGCCCAGCGTCTGCAGGCCCAGCGAGTGGCGGGCCAGGCGCATCACATAGAGGATGCGCAGCGCCCGCAGCACCCGCAGCACCAGCCCCACCTTCTCCAGGTAGGAGCTGCCGCCGGTCCTCTCGCCAGCCTCCGGGGGCTCCTCAGACACTGCGAGCGACACGTAGTACGGCGAGATGGCCAGGATGTCGATGATGTTCAGGGGCCCGCGGAAGAACTGGCACTTGTTTTGGGCCTGGACGAAGCGAACGCAGAACTCCAGGGAGAACCAGGCCACGCAGATGGTCTCCACCACAAAGATGGAGCGGCACTTCCGGGAGCACTCTCCCTGGGGAGAGCCGTGGACAGCAGCGGGTCAGTGGGCTGTTCCCCAGCGCCCCGCGGAACCACTGGGGGAGGGAGGACTTACTTGAACTCATAGTTTCAAGGGGTTTGGTCTGAAACGGTGGAGAGAGGAGGCTGGGGCAGCTCCATGGAGCTATGTGAGGAGATGGCATCCCTTGGAAAATCTTGTGAGGGGTGTGTGTGTGTGTGTGTGTGTGTGTGTGTGTGTGTGTATGCATGCATGCTTCCGTGTGCTCAAGGCAGGGTCTCTCACTGGCCTGGAGCTCGCCAAGTGGCTAAATTGGCTGACCGATGACTCCCAGGGATCTGCCTGTCCAGTAGATTATGAGCATGTGCCACCACGCCCAGCTTTTTGAGACAGGGTCTCCCTGTAGCCCCAGTTGGCCTATGGGCTGAGCTGTCCACCCGTCTTCCTTTCAGATGGTTGTCAGGTTGTGGCTGGGCACCTGGCAGGTCAGCTGAGTGCAAATAGGGAGTTCCCATCTCCCTTGCAGCCAGGCACGGTCCAATGCTTGTTATTTAACAGAGGCATGCTGCTAGGACCAGGGCTGTGAGCTTTTACAATGACTCCTCTCCTGGATTCAGGAGCGTAGGTGGCCTGCAGCAGAGGACCCATGCCCCAGGGGAGAATGGAACACCCGAGTAGAGGAGTGTGAGTCAGACTGGGAGCTGCCTTGCCTGCTCACCCACGTTCCTCACCCAGGGACAAAATCTACTTCCACTTTGTTTGATGCCATCTGTCCTGGGCCTGCTTGTTAGAGCAGCTGACCTTCACCTTCACTGACTTGAACATCTCTTAGGCTTGTGTATCTATCTGGTGCTGTGCCTTAAGCCACATGGCCAAGCAGTGGACAAGTGGAGGGACTTCATTGTATCCCCCAGGAAATGGGTCACAGCACAGGTTCACCACCTGTAGGCGGTCCTGCCCCAACCGGCCTCAGGTTTCAGCAGCCATTCATTTGTCACATCCTGATATACTGACCCCATTCCTCTGTCCAATAGAGTGGACTAAGGTCTACCTGTGCTGACCCTGGAATAAAGCCACCGGAGAAGCAGATGTGGTTCTGGGGATTGGAGGCTGGTGGGCGGAGGGCCCTAAGAGAGTCCCAAGGCTACAGTCCAGCCTCTGGGAGGTGTAGTTACAACCCTCCAGTGACTTGGCTGCCTGTCCCTATAAGGGACCATCCAGTGGTCAACACTGTGTGACTAACTTCTGGCCTCTGGCTCCCCACCTATCCCAGCATCCTCCTGCTCCTCGGTGTGGCTCTTAACCAAACGCATCAGCCTGCCTGACCCTGGAGAGACAACCTCAACCAGAGCCTCCCAGATGCACAATTTGCATTTCAACAAGACCTCTGTGGTTCAAGTTCTTGCTCCATGTAGGATGCTCAGCCTTAGCCACACATCAGACCATGGGGGCTTCAGAAGTCCCTATGCTCAAGATGGTACCTAGAGAGTCTAATTTAGACAATTTAGGGTTTTAGCTAGAGCGGTAGAATTTTCTAGAAGCCCCATGAAGGAGCCTAATCTTGAGATGTCTATAAATATTTATGTGTGTCTCTCTGTGTGTCTCTGTGTGTATATTTGCACACACACACACGCACACACACACACACACACACACAAGACTGGTGAGCAAATAGGGGACTGAAGTAACATGACTAGTAGAAAAGTGAGATGCTGATAACTGTAGTGTGTGCTTTTTTTTTTAATTAAAATGCTTTGAAGTGGAAAAATAAATTACTTCCAGTGCCTGAGGCTAGAGGAACCCTAAGCTGAACTGTTTTCTGTGTCTATTCTTTGGAGGAAAAGGAATTGGCCAGGTTGTCCCAAGCCTGGTCGGCCTGTCCAGAGCTGGGTAGCTTTCTCCCTGACCTTCCTCTGACCCCTGCCAGGGCGGGTGCAGACGGATGCCACTGAGGGACAGAGTCCAAGGGGCTGGACAGTGCGGTTAAAAGCAATGGCTGCTCTTGCAGAGGACCCAGGGTTCGATTCCCAGCACATGGTGGCTAACAACTGTCCATAACTCCAGTTCCAGGGGAACCTGATGCCCTCTCTGACCTCCTCCGGCATTGCATGACACCTATGCACTTACATACATGCAGGCCATACACTCATACACATAAAATGAAAATAATAGGGGCTGGAGAGATGGCTTAGCAGTTAAGAGCACTGACTGTTCTTGCAGAAGACCCAGGTTCGAATCCCAGCACCCACATGGCAGCTAATGACTGTCTGTAACTCCAGTTCCAGGGAATCCGACAGCCTCTTCTGTCCTCTACGGGCATTGCATGACACGGGTGCACTTACATACATGCAGGAAAACACTCATACACATAACATAAAAATAATAAAAAAAGAAAATAATAAATTTAAAAATTAATAAAATAATTGAAAAAAAGAGAGATAGAGTTCAGAGTATGTGTGGCCCAAGATCAGTCACATCCTGGCCCTCCCACTTGCTTGGGAGGTCACTGGTCCACCCTGGACCTTCAGGGGTCCTTGCCCTGAAGGGTACTTGTGATGGATGGAAACGTGTATCCAGTGGTTATGAGGACACTGAGACCAGCAATGCACATGTGACAGACACACTGTCACAGACCCTGATCTGCCTGGTCAGCCAGAAGCTAGCATTTTTGCAGGAACCAGGGGGTGGTTTGTCGAACCCATGGAGAGAGCTTTGTTGGAGGCTTGCATCAGGATCCTAGACAGCTTTGGACCTTTGGGATTCCATTCCCCAGGCCTGCTACAAATTTACTGTGCAACCTTGACGTGCTCCCTAACTGATGAAGAGGGTTGACTACAACTAGAATTCCCCAGGGTGCTGGCTGCAGATGCACATTCTTGGGCCATCACAAAATAGCACTTTGGCAGCACTTTTAACCGCACTGTCCAGCCCTCAAAAGCCTGCTTTCTTGACAAACCCAGGAAATTTTCTCCTTAGTTTCAGAGCATCTTGTAGCTCGGGACTACCACCATCTCTAGACAAATGATCTGCAGCAGCATGGGACAGTGACTGGAGGGCTGAGAAGGCCCAGCAGGCTCTGCCTTACCTCCCGCTTGGCTAGTCAAGCCATGCACACCCCATCCCCCTCCCCCGACTTGGGCTGCCTGCCTCCCTGCACTGCAGCAGGCTGGCTCTGTCACTCCACCTGCACCCAGCTCTGCTCTGCATCCTAACAAGCCCGGCACCTGCTCTTGTGACCATGCTGGGACACATGGGGGCAGAGAGATTTATGGGTTTCAGTGGAGGATGTAATCTCCAGTCCAACCCAGTCAATTATTTGAAGGAAAGGAGGAACTTTCTGAGGCCGTTTGAAAGGAGAGGATCAGTTTACCTGTGTGGCCTGAATCTTTCTGGGTTTGGGCTCCAAGTTCATCATGGAAGGTTGGAAGCAGAACTTTCCTCACTCCTACCACAGACAAGGCACCCTTTGCCTAGGGATGAGGGTCTCCCAGAACCAGACTTTTCCATGCCTAAGCCACCTGCACCCCAATCTGCTCTGCATCTTTTAAAAACTTTTATTATTTTTATTTTATGTTTAAGAGTGTATGGCCTGCATGTATGTGAGTGCACCCGTGTCGTGCAATGCTGCGGAGGTCAGAAGAGGGCTTCAGATTCCCCTGGAACTGGAGTTAAGGACGGTTCGTAGCCGCCATGTGGGTGCTGGGAATCGAACCGGGTCCTCTGCAAGAGCAGTCAGTGCTCTTAACCACTGAGCCATCTCTCCAGCTACTCTGCATCTTAACCAGTCAGAGTCCTCCCTCCGCTGCGACACAGAGGCCCCAGACCATGTGGCATCTCCATGTGTGAATGCTGGGGATGGGGTGGAACCAACCATTAAAACAGTGGTGCTCTGGGCACCCTTGGTTGGCTGGGAAGGACCTCCAGGGAACTTTTGGTGTGAGGGAAATAGTCTTGATCGGTCAGGGTGTGGGTATAGGGCTGTGTCTGATTTTTAGAAGGTTTCAATGTATGCAGCTGAAAAACTAAGATAAAAATAATAGCGGGACACCACTAAAAGGAATCAGTATGTTATGAATATACACATATATGCATATATAGAAACATATGTATGTAAAACAGTAATAATCATAAAAGGACAAGAAATTGAGGAGTGGGAGGGGTGTGAGAAGATGTTGGGGAACCCTGCTGTTAAGGTCGACTCCTTTCTCAGCAGGGGCTTCCTGCCTGACTTACCTGGAAAGCACCGCCAAGCACCAAGCTCGGATGCCTGACCTTATTTGGAACATGACCTTTAGCATAGACATATGTATGTAAAACAGTAATAATCATAAAAGGACAAGAAATTGAGGAGTGGGAGGGGTGTGAGAAGATGTTGGGGAACCCTGCTGTTAAGGTCGACTCCTTTCTCAGCAGGGGCTTCCTGCCTGACTTACCTGGAAAGCACCGCCAAGCACCAAGCTCGGATGCCTGACCTTATTTGGAACATGACCTTTGGCATAGTTACCTGCAATAAAACTGCCCCCAGGTCTTTTCTATATGATAATCAGGCATTGCCCCATAGCCAGATGACAGGATCCCCCTACCACATGTAAATAAAGCACACTATGAGCACCTACCAGCTGAAGCTTTGGCTGCCGCCTCCGCACTATATTTTCCCTAGTTCTCCCACTGAATAAACAGAGCTGTACCACTGAACCTGCCTCCCCGGAAGGGCTTTCTTCTGTCAGTGCTCACTGGCCGTCCTGTCCTGACCCTGTTCGCAATGACCCAGGAGGGGAGGGAGAGACATCACAAGAAGAGCTGGAGGGGGAGAGGGAAGCGATGCAAATATGTACTCAGATGAAATTCTCATAACAACAACAAGAATAAAATTCAAGTGCTGGTAAGATGGTCCAGGGGTAAAGGCTCTTGGCACCAAATCTGACAACCTGCCAGGACCCCCAAGACAGAAGGAGAATCAGCTCTTGGAAGCTGTCTCTCACCCCCTCATGCAAATCAACAATGTAATAAGTAAGAACAATTCAGGGTACTGAGGGTTTGTTGCAAGGTATTATGTTGTTTTCTTTGTGAATGTCTGAAAATTTGAAAAACAAGAATTTTTTGTTTTGTTTTGTTTTTTTGTTTCTTGTCTTTTTGAGACAGGGTCTCCCTATAGCTCCAGCTGGCTGGGAACTCGCTATGTAGACCAGGCTGGACTTGAACTCACAGAGATCCACCTGCCTCTGCCTCCCGAGTGCTGGGACTAAAGGTGTGCGCCACCACGCCCAGTTGAAAAACAAGAAATTAAAAAAATCAAAACCAGGGGCTGGAGAGATGGCTCAGCAGTTAAGAGCACTGACTGCTCTTACAGAAGAGCCAGGTTCAAATCTCAGCACCCACATTGTGGCTAACAACCATCCATAACTCCAGTTCCAGGGGAATCCAATACCCTCTTCTGACCTCCATGGGGTGTTACACAACATGGGTGCACTTACATGCATGCAGGCAATACACTCATACACATAAAATAAAAAAATAGTAGATAAAATAGTAAAAACTACAATGAGAGACCACATCACATCCACAAGGATGTACACAACAGACATTTGTAAGGGCCAATGAGGTTGTGGAGCATTGGAAACCCTCAGAGCCTGCTGGGGCCAATGATGTGGTGCAGAGAACTCAGCCTGCGGGGCCGATGATGTGGTGTAGAAAACGGTCTGGCGGATCCTCCAAGGGTTGAACACACAGCTGCTTAGGACCCAGCAAGGTCACATCGAAGGACACACCCAAGAGGAATGAATGAACTCCTATGTAGCCAAAGCGGACCTTGAACTTCTGAGCCTCCTACCTCTACCTCCCTAGTGCTGGGACTACAGGTATGTGCAGTGTGGAACCCAGGGCCTTTGTATATGCTAAGCAAGCACTGTGCCACTGAGTTATATCCCTAAGCCTTCTC